AAATAGTTATTTCATTACAAACTGTGCTTCATGCCATGAAGAAGCACAAGGGTGACCAAAAATGGTCAGTAGGCTCCTTACCTAGTCTAGGGAGCTGAGACTTCCTGGGGAAGTACTATTCATTCTGATCAGTAAGACAGGCTGAGCAAGGCAGAGGAAATAGTAAGTTTGAAGTCCTAGAAGCAGGAAGGAGCATGAAGTTGGGCTAGCAGCAAGGATTTAAGCTGAAAAGAGATTTCAAGGTCATCTGCCTTTATTCTCCTTGCTTGACACGTGAGGAGACCAAGGTCTAAAGAAGTACATGACATGGCAGAGATTATATAGGTAGTGACAGAGCCAGACCTGGCTCCCTGGTTTTGTCAGATGATGTCATCCTGCAGAATCCAGTGTGCTCCCCTGGTGTCTTACTTACTTTTTCATTGCTGGAATAAAATACCTGATACCCCAAGTTAAAAGAAGAAAGGTTTATATAGCTCACAGTTTATAGAGGTTTCAGTCCATAATTGGCTGGCTCCAAGGCAAGGTGGCATGACAGACATTGAAGAAGAGAAACTGTTCATGGTAGGTAGAAGGCAAAGCAAGCAAGGGACCTTAGCAGCTTTTTTCTGCCCCTTTTACATTCCATCCAGTCTACCAGGATGAGGATTGTGCCAAACCAATCATTGGACTGATTTAGTAATCACACACCCTTAATCCCAGCATCACACACTCTAGATTCAGCCATCTCCAAAAAATCCCCACCTATGACTGCGTGAGACTTTGGGGAGACATCTAGACATAAGCCATAACACTTCAAGAGCTGTGGATCTGAACCAGACAGCTATGTTTTATAGCTTGGATAGTTGCCTGACTTTGTGTAGAAGGAGGATTTAAATTCAGGTGCTGGTGACTAACAGCCTGACACATTCTATTTCTCTTTACTAGTATGATAGAGCACAAAGGCAAGCATGTATTGCCAGTCACCCCTGAGGGATGAAGGAATGGTTATAGGCTAAGAATAGTGCTTTTCAACCCTTAGCTACATATTAAACTAACCAGGGAAGCTTTTACAAACAAACCATCAATAACTGGGCTGTGGCCCTAGAGGTTGCAACTTAACTGACCTAGGGTGAGGCCTAGACATAAGCATTTGTAAAAGCACCCAGGTGATTCTGATGTGTAGCCAGGGTACCCCTCCCCCTGTGTGTGCCTTTCACAGCACAGGTGGCTCAGGGCTCAGAGTCCATCAGCCTACTGACCACACAGTGAGTGCCTGGAGAAGGCACCGACTACCTGCAATTGTGCATTAGCTCTGCAGCCTTCAGCAAGTGACTTGAACTTTCTGGGCCCCGATTTCCTTATCTATAAAAGGGGGTAATATTAACACCTACCTTATAGAGTTGTTGTCCATATGATTTAATGCAGAGTGCTTAAAACTGTATTTGATGAACAGTAAGCACTAAATAAGTAATCACTACTATTAACACCATTATGATCATTCTTAAATTGGAGAGGAGGCAATTATGCTGAAGACCAAACCAACCTGCTAGACTAGAATGACAGGCTGTATTTGCTCAAACTGTGTCTTACTCCTTGGCTCCTCCCTTGACTTTATCTGCCCTGTGGATGCCATGTCTTGAGCAGCTCATCTCTGTTATTCTCCTCTGCTATGCCACCCTGCCTTGTAGCCAGCCAACTGCAGACTGAAACATGAGCCAAAGCAAACTTTTCTTCCCTTAAATTGTGAATGTTGAGTACTGCATCTCAGTGACAAGAAAGTGACTAAGATACTAAGTATCTAAGTTGCCTAGGCTGGGCAAAACTTGCCTTCCTCCTGCCTCGGCCTCCCAGAGTGCTGAGATTATAAGGCATGCAACACCATCCCCAGGTTCTGGATTTTTCTTGTCTCTGAGCCCTAGATCTTCAAGGCCTTGATTATTCTAGGCCCTAAGAAGTAAGAATCCCCAAAGCACAAACTCAAGTTTGAAAGGGACCTTAAGATCTGCCAGTCTAATTACTTCGTTTTACAGATGAAAACCCATGAACTTTACAGGAGTGACTTAACCAAAGTCCCGAGCTAGTGTATAGCAGGGCAAGACTAGAAGCCAGATACTTCACCTCCTAGGCTACTGTAACCTGCACTCAGGATCCAGTCCCCAGTGACTCCCTGACCTTGGCTTCTAGACTTCAAGGCTTGAAACTAAAACTTGTTGCTGTACTTGACAGCTACCTAACTCCACCTCATTTCCTGGTGCTGCATGGCCCTGGCAGTGATGATGGTCATCTTGCCTAAGTTAGACTTTAGCTTCTCTTGTAAAACACTCCCCATAAATAGGACATTTGATAAACCAGACAGTAAAATATCACTAATTCCAACTATTGGGTGTGTAGGGGGGAGCCAGTCTGAATTAGTAAAGTCTGATTCCCTTTTATTCTATATGACTGGAATTAAACTGATGGACAATCCAATGGAAAAGCTTTCAGGCCCTACCTTCATGTGAGTGGTTTTCATGATGGTACACACCTGTAATCCCAGCTACTCAAGAGTCTGAGGCAGGAGGATGGCAAGTTGGAGTCCCACCTGGGCAACTTAGCCTGCCTCAGAATAAAATAAAAAGATCTAGAGATGTAGCTCAATGTTCCATGGATTTAATCCCCAGTAGTGCCAAAAGAAAAAAAAAGTTGAGGTAGTATAATGTCTGGTTTCTCCATGGACTAGGAGGCCAGCTCAGCCACCTAGAGTGGAAGAGATGGGTATAGGGGAGGAATGTGGCAAGGTTTGGCAAAGCGGTTGTGAGGAATGGGAAGGGGTCCTTTGCAGGCCTGCTCTGGGCAGCCAAGGTCAGAGGCCATGAAGCTTCCACTGTCCCCATCTTCCTATATGTATTTGTCTTTAGCATTGTGGAACAGGGAGGAAGTTTGAGGGGGTAGGGATCAACTGAAGGACAAGCTCTACTCCTGAAAGCCAGCTCTAAAGGGATGTCCCCCTCAGAGTGGACAAGTAATGTCAATTTTATAGAAAGATGCTATATTGATTTTGAAACTAGAAGCAAAAAACAGGAAAAAGGGAGCTGCAAGAATGAAAAAGAGGCCAATGGAGCACCTGTAACCTAGAGATCAAAGAGCAGGCAAGTAAGCAGAGATTAATGGTTTCTGAAAGATTTGATGAGTGCAAATTCAGAGTGAAATAGTTGAATAGATGAGGACACTGGTCAGAAGAGTCTGATAGGGCTGGGGATTTAGCTCAGTGGTTCTGCTACCTGGCTTGCAAGTGCAAGGTCCTGAGTTCAATCCCCAGTTCCAAAAAAAAAAAAAAAAAAAAAAAAAGTCTGACATATATAAGATTGCGGAAGTGGGCATGAGGAGAACTAGGAAGTACAGTAAGGGATTTGAATGACAGAATACTTTCAGTGTGTTAGCACTTTTCTCTCTTCCTCGGCTCTTGTCCTGAAGTTGAATTAAGTCAACAGCATTGGAGAATGAACCAGCTGTAGTTTATTAGGAAGAACAAAGAAAAGCTCCCACTAGCCAAGAGGGGCTCTTAGGGAGGATGCCACCAAGCCATTGGGTTTACATATGTACAGACTTTGGCAGGCAATGTTGATGGCCACTTGAAAATGAAACAGTGCGATTATCGCTTTTGCTAGACCTCCCTTGCACTGTAACTTCCCAGGGCTTGTCTCAGTTTACTCAGGCCCTCATCCTTAACTGAGTACTGTCTCTCTATCTCTTAGTCTCAAACATACTAGTAATTAATAGCAATCCCAGCTCCTAGGTATTGATCCTACTGCATGCCCAACATGCTAAATGCTTTACATTGTGTTTTCGTACCAGTCCTATGAAGTAGATATTATCCCTGTTTTCTCACTAAGTAAACTGAGGCTCAAGAAGATTATGTAAGTTGCCTAGGGTCACATGGCCAATAAACAAGGAAGCAAGGACTTGAACCTGACCTGTCCACCTCCAAGGTTATGCTTATTACTGTTACACTCTCTGCCTCTCCCACATGGCACAGTGCCACAAAATGTTCCAGTGCCACAAAATGCTATAGACATTTCTGAATCAGCCAAACTACTGTATGTGTACAGCCTAATGTAGAGCAAACAGCACTCCTGAAAGCCAACTGTAAGAGGACATCCCCCTCATGATAAACAAGTAGTATTGATTTTATAGGGAAATGGTATATTGAAAAGTCATTTCATCTGATTGTAGAATTCCTTTTCTAATGGAAAAAAGTCACAGAGATAGAGCCTTTTGATGATAATGGGGTTCAGTCAGGATAGTTCTGGGGTGGCTAACGGTGGACAAAGTGGCGGAACAGTGAGGACCAGTGAAGTTGAAGACCAGCTGTGAGGGATGGTACAGGTTGTCTTAAATGTTCCGTAAGAGGATAACGAGGCTGGGCACGATTGAGCCACCAGGTGTCACAGCCTTCAGTCATTGCAGAAGAGTGGCCAGGAGATAAGTTGGTGAAGCAAGACAAAGAACGAGTGAGTGACGTGAGCCCCAGTTTTGGCATGACTGTGAGGGATTTGGGGTCTGAGGACAGCAGCAGGGAGCTAGAAGAATACCACCATCACTCTACTTCCTACCAGGTGACATCTGCGATGAAGGGGTAAGCAGCCCTCACTTACTGCACGTAGTAGCTTTCCAGGGGAGGAGTAGTTAAGACAAAGAGGCAGGAGGGCACTAAAATTGGTTAAGAACCTAGGAATAATATCATGCCCAGAGGGTGTGTGATGGCATGGAATGTAAGTACAGAATCAAATCTTTCAAATGCCTGCTTCCTTCTTGGCAAAATAAATCACACATTTGTGAACAGGGCATCATGGTTTTAAAGCATGTTTATATTCATTCTAAGCCCATGGGGCCAAGAAGAACACTATGGGAGCCATTCTTTGCAATTATCTTGGCCGGGGGCATAGCATCCAGAGTGCAGACTTGAAACTCTGCCTCCTTCGAATAGGACCTTTATTTCCTGGTATTTAAATCATTCCATCCCACCTTCTATTTCCTCCCAGGCTCAGAGCTCCTATCTCCCCCACTGTGGAGGTGTAGATGTCCATTTCTCAGGAGCAATGGACTGTTTCCGGCAGATCGTGAAGGCTCAAGGGGTCCTGGGGCTCTGGAATGGATTGACAGCCAACTTACTGAAGGTGAGGGAATGGCCAGTCTATTGCTTCTCTGTGTCTCCCAGTTCCACCCTTTCCTTTGTCTCTGTCCCCATGGAAACACCCATCTAGCACTAAGGATAGCACAAGGCCCATAGATGCAGACTGGCCGTCAGCCCTAAAGAATGGGAGGAGCCTATGCAGTGGTGGGGATTCTTGTACCCCACCCTACAAGAACTAAGCATTTAACTTAGATTCCTAACATGGGATTCCTGAACCCCAAGGAGATCTGACCCCATCAGAAACTACAAAATTGTGTGTATGTGCATATGTGTATGCACCCTATTCCCAGAGAATTCCATGACCAAAGGGTAAAATTTTCATGAAGAACTCCAGGCAAGCCTTGCACCAGCTGCCATATAAATGATTCCAGTCAAGGCCAACATATATTGACAGGCAGTGTCAGATCGCCAATGTGCACATCAGCCCAGGCCCACTGCTTACCTAACATGCTCATCAGGCATTCTGCCATCTCTCTCACTCTACCCACGCTGTACCAGCCTTCCTCTGTCACCTTCCCTGATTCCACAAAGAATTACGACACGGTATTACCCACAGCTATTATTTTAGTATATCCTGACCCACCTTGACTGTAGACATGTTGATATTTTCTCCCTGAGTTTAAGATAACGTTTATTTTTTGTTTAACAGATAATTCCATATTTTGGACTTATGTTCAGCACCTTTGAGTTCTGCAAGAGAATATGTCTTTACCAAAATGGTTACATTGTGTCTCCTCTGAGCTATAAATTGACCCCAGGGGTGGACCAGAGCCTGAAGCCCCAGGAATTACGGGAATTAAAGAAGTTCTTCAGAACTGGAAAACTGAAGTCTAAAAAACCGACTCTGTAAAACTGAACAGAACTTGAAGTACACTGGCTGAAGGCGTGTTGCAATCACAGATGAATATGACCTCACAGTTTTGCACAGAGGAGTGGTGAGAGAGTCCTCCCATCTGCTCTCCTCAGAAATGTGATGCCTTGGCCCTACACCACCTCAGAGCCCCACACTGCTGTCCCCATGAACACCTGCACCATGAATGAGGCTTTCCCAACACTGCTACATCACAATGGCAATCCCACCAGATTCTTCTGTGTGTGTGGTACTACAGATGGAGGCCCAGGCCTTCATGCTGAGCTACATCCCCAGCCCTTTTGGTTTTATTTTGAGAATGGGTCTCACTAAGTCACAAAGTTGCCCAAGCTGGACTTGAACTTGTGATCCTCTTGCTACAGCCTCCCAGACTGCTGGGATTACAGGTGTGCACCACCACTCCCAGCTTTCTCCAGATTTTATAAGCAAAGCTTAGCAGTGGTAGGATGTGAAATTTACCCTGGGAAGAAAAACATGACACTGAAGCCAGGGCATTGCCGTGACACCACACAGCAACATGCAGTTGAAGTGGAAGAGCAGAGACCACATCACGAGGCCAGCCACAGGCACAGGGTCAGTCAGTGCAAGGCTCACACAGACTAGCTTCGCTCAGTTTGACCTGTGGCCTCCCTGTAAGTCACTCTTGAACTCATAACCTCTGCTAACTGCTGAGAGCACGTGCCACCATGTAGATTAGGCCTTATCAGAAACCAGATCAAAATTTTAGCTTCAAAAGTTGATCTTGTCATAGTAGAATCATCCTTATTGAAATATGAAGCATTCCAGTCTTAGACTCTTGTTTCGGAGCGGCAGATTTTACTATGACTGTTTAACTCTTTCCTCTGCAGACCATCTTCCAGTTGAAGTCATGTAAGGTTCAACTGGCCTGAATTCTCTGCCTTTTTAACTTGCTTTGGAAGCCTACCCTGAAAATAAATTATTTAGTCATCTTGGGTTTTTCTCATCAGATGTCCCAGTTGCCCAGAAAGGATCAAATGGAATGTTTGACACACATTTCCCCAAAATGTAAAGAATGAAAACACTTTAACCTAACCACCTTTAGTAGATGTTTTAAAAAATCAAATTTCAAGATTGCCCTGCTTTAGATATTTCATGGAATATTTATAACTGTACATTTCAAATAGCTTCTACACACTTAAAATGCATTAATACCTACCATTAAGCTCTTCATTCATACACATCCTCTCCCTCTCCCCCACTCATACATACACACTCGGGCTTCCAGTATGTTAAAAGTATTTTTTCCTATTAAATTTATTTTTCATAGAAAAAATATGGTGTGGGTCACATTGCTAATCAGAATTATCGAACTATAGTTAAATATCTAACTGACCAAAACCTTTAAACTCTCAGAACTGTGTTGCTGAAATGCACCATAAAAATAACTGATTTTTCACCATCTGTAGCAGTTTTATTAGAAATGGCATTTAACACACATGCACACACACAATGAAAATCTCTTTAGAAAAATCTGAGTTTGGAGGGTAGCAAAGTCTTAACCCTGAGGAAATGAATAGTTCGTGTTTGTTAGTTTTTAAAAATACCCCTTGAAGCAAACAACTTTGTAAAAGGTTCTGAAAGCTGCAAAAATAGGTTTTTTATATAAAATCTAAAATCCCAAGCCCAGGTTATAAACATCATAGTCTGTCTTTTGTGTACAGTATTCTTTTGTAAGAATGAAATAGCTAAACTCTTGCTACTTGTCACAGAAATGTTTTCTGAGCTGCAGTTTTGATTTTTCTTCAATAAATTACAGTGAGGAAAAGAATAGGCCTCATTTTCTAAATGTCAGAACAACTCTTTAGAACTCTAGTTCTGTTCCTAACAGGAACTTCCAGCTACTTTTATTTTCTTGGTGGTATGAGGAAGTGTTCTGCCTTCCTGCTTTATGGACAGCAGTATGTACCACACAGGACTAAGCACTTCAGCAGAATTACAAAGTATGAGGCAGTACTGACCCAGCAGTAATTTAGAGTCATAAGGTGAAATGAGCAAAACTGCAAAGCAAACACAAGCAAAGGCGTGATATGTGGTCAACTGTTGACAAGACTGGCAAGGTGTTCAATGCTGTATATACTTAATAAAGGAACCCACATGGGGGAGAAGGGCTGGTAATAAGCAGGGGCTCTTGGAAGTACTGAGCCTTGAAGTTTTGAAGGATGCAAGGGATGTTAATTGGTCAGGAATGGGCAAGACAGCACTGCAGGACGAAGACAGAAAAAGCAGTGTTGCAGAGATGGAAAAAGCAAAGTGTGCTTGGGCTTGAGTGAAAAAGCTAGCTGTTTGCATTTATTCGACACCTGCTAGGCACTCTGGCTGTGGTATGAAAGGCAGATGAGCTCCTGGCCCTCAGGGAGCTTGCACTCTAGTGAGGCTGGGTGGGAGTCAATAAGCTAATGGTTAGGTACATTGTGATGATACGAAGAAATAAACAGGGTGCTTTAGCACAGGATGAGGTGGGAGAGGGGGAAGCCACTCAGAGATGACATCTGAAATGAGACCTGAAGAGTGAGAATAAGCCAGCCATGGAAAAATGAGGAAGAAGAACATTCTGCAAAGGGAAGAACAGGTGCACAAGTCGCGGGGGGGAGGCTTGGTGAATGGGAAGGAGGGAGGTATAGACACAGTGTGGTCAATGAGAGCGATATTCCATTAGGGTGAGTAGAGAGCCAGATTGGATTTTTTTGTTTTGTTTCGCATTACTGGGGATTGAACCCAGGCCTTTGTACATTCCAGGCAAGCAATCTACCACTGAGCTACACCCACATAGGCCAGAAAATTTTCCAATGTTATTCTACACAAAATGGGAAGCATTGAAGTTTTTAGCAGAAAACCAATAAAATATGATTTTCATTTTTATGAAGTGCTATCCATATTATTTACCTATCTGAGAAATGGCTTGTATATTTGCACAACTCTGAGCACTTTCATTTTTCTCTTGCATTCTTCATGAATGCTTTTCACTCTCCAATGAATTACTGATTATACCTTCTTGATACATTGTTATTTTCCTCTCTTGCTATATGGTATCTCTCTGAATCAGGTTTATTCTTCCTTTCCTAGATGTCGGCCAGAAGTCTCATCTTATACAGTCTGAACAATACCCATAATATTGTGTTTTCCTGCTTGTGTTAAAATTTTACATTCACTATTACCCATATTCTGAGTGTTGGCACATGGTAGCTGAGGCCCTGAATCTTTCTGCTCACTCTTCCTTGTGTCTTCTTGAGAATTACTAGCACTGTCTTAACTTTAGCTTCTCTTTATTTATTGTATATTGTATCTACATAGCTCCCAGAAACACAGTAGTGACTATTAACAGATTCCCCCACTATGTCTTGCTATGAGTTCGTTGTTGTTGTTTTGTTTTGTTTTTCGGTACCAGGGATCAAATCAGATCCTTGCACTTGTGAGGCAGGCGGTGGAACCACTGAGCCAAATCCCCAGCTTGCTATGAGTTTTTAAAGAAGTCATATCAGTATCATCATCAACATCATTATCATGAATATTATTCTCTATTCTTTGGTGCTCTTGCTCTTGGTTTCTTCTTCTTTTCCCTTTAGGAAATGCTCATATTTATTTTGTTTTTGTTTTGTTTTGTTTTTGGTACCAGGGTTCAAACTCAGGTCCTTGTGCTTGCAAGGAAGGCTGCAGAACCAATGAGCTAAATCCCTGGCCAAATGCTCATACTTATAAAAAATGTTGCAAAAAATAGTACAAAGACACATCTGACAAGAGGTTGATATCCAAAATATATAAGGAACTCTTAAAAACTCAACAGCATAAGGCACAGTGTAAGCATAAGGCAATGTGCCTGTAATCCCAGCTACTTGGGAGGCTAAGGCAGGAGGATCAGAAGTTTGAGGCCAGCATGGGAAACGTTAGCAAGACCATCTCATAATAAAACTAAAAAGCCTGGGATGTAGCTTAGCTCAGTGCCCCTGGGTTCAATCCCCAGTACCATAAAAAAATTAATAGGCAATGAATCAAAGTAAATACTTCTCTAAAGAAGACATACAAATTGCCAACAGGCTGGGCATGGTGGCTCACACCTGTAATCCCAGTACTCGGGAGGCTGAGGCAGGAGGATCACTGTGAGTTCGAGACCATCCTGGGCTACATAGTTCCAGGTCAGTCTCAACTACATAGTGAGAGCCAAGGCAGGAGGCACTGTGAGTTCGAGACCATCCTGGGCTACATAGTTCCAGGTCAGTCTCAACTACATAGTGAGAGCCTGTCTAAAACAAAACAAAACAAAACAGCAAATAAATTGCCAACAGGTACATGAAAACTCAACATTACTAATTATCAAAGAAATGCAAATCAAAACCACAATAAGTTATCACTTCACCATAGTAAGAATAGCTACTATCAAAGACAGGCCGAACGTGGTAGCTCATACTTGTAATCTCAGATACTCTGGAGGGCCGAGGCAGGAGAATCACAAGTTCAAAGGAAGCCTTAAGAAGACCCTGTCTCAAAATTAAAAAAAAAAAAAAAAGGGCTAGGGAGGGGGGTCAGCATTTCCTGAATTCAATCCCCAGTACTTCAAAAACTAACAAACAAAAAAAGGCAACAAAGGCTTTGTAGCATAAACTGATAATTCCAGATACTTCAGAGGTTGAGGCAGGAAGATTACAAGTTCAAGGCCAGCCTGTGAAACTTAGTGAGACCCTGTCTGAAATTTTTTAAAGGGGTGGGGAGGTAGCTCAGTGGAATAGTGCTTCCCTAGCATGCTTGAGACCCTGGGCTTAATCCCAGTACCCCCCACACACACACACACCACCACCACCACCAAAAATAAGAAGTGCTGGTAAGGATATGAAGAAAAAGGAACACTTATCCATTGTGGGTGAGAATGCAAATTAGCATAGCCTTACTGGAAAACAGTATGGAGAGTCCTCAAAAAATTTAAAAATATATCTACCATAATAATCTCGCTAGTGGGTATATAGCCAAA